ATTGAGTGGTGCCTCCAGGATCTGCCCCAGCTGTGCCAAAATCCTGCGCTTTGACAGAGCAAGATTAACCCCTCAGCTGCTGGGTCCCAGGCAGCCCCTCAGCCCCACTTCAGAGGTACTGAAGCACCTCTCTGCTCACCGAGGACAAGCACATCCCAAAAGGGCTGCATCCCAAAGGGGCTGCTCAGTGCTGGCTCTGCCAGAGTGGCCCAAGGAGGGGTTCTGGAACTGAGAAAAGCTCCCTTCTCTGAGCAGGAGCGACGTTAAAGCAACCCAAGGCTCAGGAGGGGCCCAGCCCTGCTGTGTTTGTGCTTTGGCGAGAGATGACTTCAGCGTTTAAAGGTCAGGCCGGGTCCAGCAGAGAGATTGCACAAAGCTTTTCTTCTGCTGCCTGCGCCTGCCAGCTCCAGGGGTGCAAAGTCCATGCAGGGCTGGGGAGACACCGGGCAAGGCTCAGAGCCCAGAGCGGGGCTCCCTGCAAAGGAGCAGGCAGACATGCCCTGGGCAGCTTTTAGGGTTGCACCAGGAGAAAGGATGGCTGGATGCCACCATGAGAGAGGCTTCCACTGTTGCACCAAACGCAGGGCCACACTCCTGGCGCCCCTTCGCTGCCTCTCCGCATGCTCTTCTGGAGAGTGGAGGCGACACGGAGGCTGAGCAAACATAATAAGTCGAGTAAATGAGAGCAGGGACCAGGCGGAAGGCTTTAATAATTCAGAGAAGACAGGGAGAAGTGGGTCAGCTCTGGTGACACAGGCTCGTGGTGGCGAGCAAAGCTGTGCCAGCTGACGCACACACCTGTGCCCAGTGGGCATCACCTGCAAATGCCTCTCTGGACTTTGAAAACTGGGAGTTTTCCTTGACACCGAGCCCTGAGCGTGGCTGCAATTCCAGTGGGTGCTGATCCGGCTGCAGGTGCTGGGGAGAAGGAGCAGCCCCAAATGCACCGTACATGTGTGAGGTGGAGCATCACCCTGTGTCCGGCAGTGCTTCTGCCATCCCATCTCTCCACACTGTGTTTCCAAGCCTGCCTCCTGCCACCCCATTGGGACTGCCAAGGGATTTCATTTTACTGTCAGCACCCACACCCACTCAAGAAATGTTTTGGGTTAGGCCAGCTGAAAACAGCAGAAAGAGCTCATGTAACCCAGCACAGCCAGCTGAGCAGCTCCTCCAGTGCCTGGGTGTCGGCTTATGGGTTTGTAGGACGCAGGCCAGCCTTGGGATGAATCCTGCCCCACCACTCCGGATGAATCACGGGACGGCTCTGCTCCACGCGCCCGAAGGTTTGAGGGCATCCTGCGGGCAAAAGGCAGCTCTGGGGTGCGTGGGCAGAACCTGCCTTCATCCCTGTGGTTTGCCCAGACTGAGATGCGGCAGAGGTTTAGGAGTGGGGAAAGCTGTTGCCTCCAGGTGGAGAGGGGAGATGCCAGGGCTTTGGGGTGACAGCATCCCCAGGGGTCGGTGGGCAATGCTGGCCCAGGGAAGCTTCATGATGAGCCTGAGCTCGGTCACATACTTGCCATTTCTGGAGGGTTTGCTGGGGAGGCTGGTGGCCTCGCTGCAGCCTTGTGAGAGGGTGGGGGGATGGGTTCTGTGCTGGGGGCACAAGCTAAGAGAGACACCCAGCCGGGAGAGACGGGGCCTGCACTCATCATGTGCACAGCAGCAGCTCAGGGAGGAGGCTGTGGAACCAGAGACTGGTTTGGATGGGAAGGGACCTTTCAGAGCTGTCTAGTCTGACCCCCTGCAGGGAGCAGGGACATCTGCAACTAGAGCAGGTTGCTCAGAGCCCCGGCCAACCTCACCTGGAATGGTTCCAGGGATGGGGCATCAACCACCTCACTAGGCAACCTGGGCCAGGGGCTCACCACCCTCAGCATCCAAAATTTCTTCATTCTCTCGAGTCTAAATCTCCGCCTTTCAGTTTAAAACCACCCCGCCTTGTCCTGTTGCAAGGGGCCCCGTGTTCAGGGCTCGGGGACCCCACAAAAAGCCCTTCCCCTGCAGAGCAACAGGGGGAGAGCCCTGCGAGCCACACCGGCACCATGCCGCCTTCTGGTTCCAGGGCTTGGGGGCACGTGCTGGCAACCACGGCAGCAGTGCGGGGTGGCACGGGGCTGGGAAGAGGCCAGATGATGGAGGCATCACCCGGCACAGGGACAGAGCTCCCTTGTTGGGCTGGGACGTGCTTAGGCGCCCAGCTCCAGGAGCAGGGACCTGGCCCAGAGCAGGCTGGCGCAGAGAGGGGAGGTGCTGGGGGCATCCCTGGGGGGTTACAGCCTCTCCCTGTTTCCCAGCTGCGGGAAGGGGCCACGGCTGCCATTGACCCCCATGTCCTGATCGCTGAGGATGAGGACTCCCCCGCAGAGGAGCTGACCTACTCCATCCAGGCCCCAGTCAACGGGAAGGTCGTGCTGAGGTCGGCACCCAGCGCTGAGGTCCGGCAGTTCACCCAGGCCCAGATAAATAATGGCCTCGTCCTCTTCATGCACCAAGGTAGGGTGGGGCTGATGTGCCCCGGTCCCCCCTGGCCCGAGGGAGGGGGTGACATCACCCAAAGGGAGCACTGTACCCCCAAGGCAGATGCTAACCAAATCACACGGCACCCTGGTCCAAACTGTGCCAGGTTAATGGGGGCTGCAGTTCCCCTACCCACTGTAAATGCCCACCTCTGTGCTCTCCACAGGGCCCCTGGATGGGGGCTTTGCCTTTGACCTGTGGGATGGGGAGAACTTGTCTCCTGGGCACTTCTTCCTCATCAGGGCACAGAGAGAGCCTCTCATCAGCCTGACCAAGAAGCAGAGCCTCACCATCTGCCCAGGTGGGTATGGGCACGTTCTCCCTCCTCCCAGTCTGATGGTAAACAGGGTCCTTGGACGCTTCCACAACCCCCTGCCAGAGGCTGCAGGCAGGTGGTGAGGCAGTGGGTTGAAGTCCATACTGGACATGTTTTCCAGGCGCCCTGCAGCCCATCACCAGCCAGAACCTGCAGGCAGTGAGCAACAGCCCTACAAGCTCCACGGCTCTCTACTATAGCATCGAGCAAGCCCCACGCCTGGGCAGGCTGAGCACCTCCCACGGGGAAGAAATTAGAAACTTTACCCAAGCCCAGGTGAGCTATCACCTCCCTCAGTCCCCTGTCACAGCCCTGGTCCCTGGCAGAAGGCAGAGCAAGGCTGCAGCCCCGCCGTGACTTCCCCAGCTCTGCCAGCAGCTGATAAAAGGGATTAAGAGCTGCTGCCCCCGCGCCGGCTTTACTACGGCCACCAAGCCTTGGATTTAGTGCTGGAGGAGGCTCAGGGAGTTACAATCCCCTTTTCTTAGGCTACCACCCTGCTGCAGTTGCAGCCACATTGCCTGCTGCCTAGGGCAAGGGCTGAGCAGGGTGCTTTCAGCCCTGCCTCAGGCAAAGCCTTGCTGCCGTCCTTGCCCAGGGCCAGGCCCAGGGATGCACACGTTGGCTCTAGCACAGCATCACCAAGGTCATCCCCCTCCCCAGGCCCACGGTGCCCATCACCCCAGAAAGGAGACAGACACACCGCACCCACTCTGGGGTTTTATTTGGCCATTTAGAAGAGCTCCTTGAGGTTTTTATTTTTAGGTGGACAGCCGGTTGATTTTCTACCAACATGAGATGCCAGAGAAGCCCTTCTGGCTTGCCCAAGATGCCATCCGCTTCCGTGTAGTCAGTCCTACGACAATCTCCGACTCCTTCATCCTCCTCGTACTGATCTCCTTCGAGGCCACGTGTCCCCAGCGCTCAACTCAGCTATGGAGAAATGCAGGTAAAGGAGGAAGAGAGAGGCAAGGGACAAAAAAGCCCTCTGAAAGTTTGCACAATCACTCCTTTCAGGGGGGATCCTGCACACTTCAGGAGGGCTTGTTTGTTTGAAGAAGACACCACCATGCAATTTCCCACAGCCACCCAAGCACAAGCTTTGATATTATGCCAGGCAACATCTAAAATGACATCCATCCTTTTGCTGTCTCTCTATAAAATGCCTTCCTCCATCATCTTAAACTAATACTTTCCAGTCACCTTCTCTTCCCTTTCCATTTCTCTGCAATCCTCCTTTTTCTGCACTATCTTGTTTACACCGGGGGCTGCTCTCCTCTCCAGCGGATCCTGGCTCTTCCCAGGGTTGAGAGACTTGAAGGTTTTCCTTTCTCTCCCCAGGTCTCCAGCTTGCAAGTGCTCAACAAGCTGAGATCAGCACCTCAGTTCTGGATGCCTCCAACCTCCTGAGCCAAATCCCAGTCCCCGAGAGGGCTGCTTATGATGTTGTCTTCCTGGTGACAAGGCTGCCGGCTCGCGGGCAGCTCTTGGTGGCCGGTGTGCCCCTGGAGCAGTCACGGTCATTCTTCCTGCAGTCAGACCTGGCTGCAGGGCGCCTGGCCTATGCTCATGGTGGGGACAGGGGCTCCGAAGACCGTTTCAGATTTAAGGCTTGGCTCCAGCCCCAGGTGCAGCAGTCCCTCCATCCTCCACAGGAAGGGGTGGTCCTCTCTGAAGCTTTCAATATAACGGTGATCAGCAGCAGCAAGCCACCACAGGTGGTGAAGCAGCAAGAAGTGCTGCGGGTCCCACCCGGCTCCGTGGTGACCTTGTCCCAGGGGTACTTGGATGTGGCAGACCTGTCGGGTTCCCCAGAGGAGATGGTGTACAGTGTCCTCCAGAGAGCCCTTGCTGGCCACCTGGCCCATATTCACAACCCTCAAAAGCCCATCGACCGCTTCACCCAAGCAGATGTCAACGCAGGCCACGTGGTGTTTGTTGCCACTGGGAGCGCTGCCCCAGGGTCCATAGCCCTGAGCCTTGCCGATGGCCACCACCCTCCTACCCTGACCTCACTGGAGATTGAGGTGCTGCCTGCAGTGAGCACTGCTGCCAGCCCAGTGCTGCTGGAGGTGCCCCAAGACCTGAACAGGGCCTCTGTGTCCCCCCATCTCCTCCTGGGAGCCACGCAGCTACGCGCAGGCAATGCCCTGTACAGGATCACCAAGGACCCCAGGTTTGGCCAAGTGCAAGTCAACCAAAAGCCAGTGCGGGGCTTCTCCCAGAAGCAGCTGGAGCGTGGGGAGGTGACATTCGCCTTCACCGACCTTACCTCTCCTGAGGATGACTTCCAGTTCCTTGCCATGTCACGGGCGGCAAACAGGACTGGGGTGGTGAATGTGACCGTCCGTGCCCTGGTGAAGGCTCAACCTGGCAGCGTGTGGCCTAGGGGCACCACAGCCCTCCTGGACACCAGCATCCTTGATGCCAGTGAGCTGGCCAACCGCACCAAGAGCGTCCCAGTCTTCAAGATCCGCAGGGTGCCCCGCGGCAGCCGTCTTGTGAAGGTCTCCAGGGACTCAGGACGACCCACCACCTTGATCGAGACCTTCAGCCAGAGCGAGCTAGAGCAAGGGCTGGTTGGCCTGGAGGTGCTGGATGCTGGGGAGACTGAGCAGCCCCTGCAGAGTGACAGCTTTGTCTTTGAGCTGGCAGCCGCTGGTGTGCCCCCGGCTCTGGCGTCCCTCGGGTACAGCACTGAGCCCTACAACGCCTCAAAGACCTATGGTGTCACCTTGCTCATGGCGCCCACCGCACCATCACCTCCAGTGCCCCAGCCCCAGGGCACAGCATGGAGCAGCCCCAATGCCAGCGAGCTGGGCATGCCCCCCACTGCCTGGCCGAGCCCCGGCGCTACCACCAGTCCCAGCCCCGTGGAAGGGGGCACCTTCCTCAGCTTCATCGAGGCCAACATGTTCAGCATCATCATCCCCGTGTGCCTCATCTTCCTCCTGCTGGCTCTCATCCTGCCCCTGCTCTTCTACCTACACAAGCGCAACAAGACGGGGAAGCACCACGTCCAGGGCACCCCCTCCTCCAAGGCCAAGAATGGGGCCGTACCAGACCACGAGACCTTCCGGAGGACGGACCCCAACCAAGGGATCCCCCTAACAACTGTCAATGCCCTGGAAGGCAAGGGCCCAAGTCCCTCACCCCAGGGCAAGGGTCCTGGGGGACCACCAGACCCCGAGCTCCTCCAGTACTGCCGGACTTCCAACCCCCCCTTGAAAAACAACCAATACTGGGTGTGAAGGGCTCAGGGCACAAGATCACCCAGGGATCCAGACACTCCCAGAGCACCACCAGCCACCTCCTCCTGGCTCTCCTCCTCCTCCCTGGGAGCTGGCTCCCCACAGATGCAGGAGGGCCCTGGGGACACGGGGGCTGCGGGTCCAGCCCACGCAGGAGCCCCAAATGTCCAGGTGGCTTTGGGCAGGGGAGAGGGGCACCGCATAAGCAAGCGAGTGCTGGCAAAACGCCTGATCATTCCTGGGGAACGCTGACTTCAGGTGCTCGTTTGGGCCACAGCACTGGAGGGGACCTGATGGCATTGGTCCCCACACAGCCGCAGCTGGTTCCTCCAGGTGGAGCTCCAACCGCCGCATGGGCGTTTGCCACAGCTCTCAGCACAACAGGGAGGAAGAGGAGCAGCTCGAGCTGACTCAGGCTGGGGATGAAGCTTCCCAAATCCCCCAGGGCTAGGCGGGCTGAGACACTGGAGCAGAGGCTCAGAAAAAAAATCTGTGGCCAATGCCAGGGGAATTTAAGGAGTCCCCACCCACTTGGAAAAAAAAAAAAACAAAAAAACCACCAAAAACCAAACCGCCTCACTCTTTCTCTGCAAGCTTGCTGCATGCTTCATAATGCAGATGGCACCGAGCCCCAGGGGGATTGCACAACAGGTAGGGTGCCCTCTGTGAGGGATGGCAGGAGCTTACCGGGGCGGCGTGAGACCAGAGAGCCCGAGCCAGGGCGGTTTTCCCTGTATACTCCAGCAGAAGTAAACAATAAAGTGCCTTTTCCGAGGTGCATCATGGTTTTCGTCAGCCGTCTTCTTTGCCAGGCCTGTTTTAAGCCCAGCGAGCTGCCGAGCAACATTTGGAGGTAATGGACCAAATTCTGGGCTCTTGCTCAAATTTTCCCCAGCCTGTAGTTCTAAAAAAAAATGAAAGAGAAATTGTCTGAGGAAGAACAGAGGAAAAACTGAGAGCTGAGCTCAGGATGGGACCCAACAATAATACCCGGTGCTGCTGCAGCTGGGAAGCTCATCACAGGGCACATCTTGCTCCAGCGACACTGATGGGAAGTCAAAAGGAGCCCCTGGGAACTGGGGGGGGATGTTTTACGTTTGTACCCCCTTCACCCAGGAGAAAATCCATCCCATGGACCCCCTCAAACCAGCCCCCCCCCCCGGCACAGCACACTCGCGCCAGGCTGTGGCAGAGCTGGGCTGTTTGCTAGGGCCACGGCGGTGGTTTTCCCGGCTGCATTCATGGTGTCAGACATTTGCCAAGTGGTAAATCACACCTGCCCCTCTCTGGCCATCCGGGTGCACCCAGCCAGCCCCACGTCCCCCAGCCCCAGACTGCCCCATGGCACAGGCGGGATGGGGCACATCGGAGGCAGCCCTGGCACCGCCAAGCACTCTTGGCCCGGGGCAGCCCATGCCAATGGGTGCCAAGCCTGTGCGCTGCCACCTCCGTCCCTGCTGCAACCTCCCCGCCTCCAGAGGAGAGAAAATATGACGTTTCCTTCTACTCGGAGGCAAATCACATCCTCTGCCCTCTGTGAAACCGGGACAGCAGAGCCAGGCTGCCCACGCCAGAGCTCAGAGCTTGCACGGAGGAGCCTGAAGGGGCGGTGCTGCTCCCAAAAGGCTGGGACATCACCTCCCTCCCTCGCAGCACTGTGCCTTCCCCAGCACGTTGCAAGTTCTCTTCCCTCAGTACCTACCCCTCAGCCAGGGATGGAGCTTTGCAGGGAAGCCGGACACATCCACCGAGGGCCCCCTTGGAAGCAGCCACCGCGTTTTCCTTCTGACTGCTTTTTGCCTCGTGCCCAGGGATTAAATAGAAGGAACGTGGCCTATTTTGTAGGGATCATTGAAAATGAAGCAGGTTATTTTTAAGGCTTGCGGTTGTATTCCCGCTGCTGGGAAACATCCACTTCCTGAGGTCAGGGGAGGACAGGCAGTAACCTGGAAAACGACAGTGTGGATCATGGCTCTCTGGGGCCAAGCTCTGCTGGCAGGGTTTAAACCCTGAGCAAAGCCAGTGGTTCTGCTTGGGTTATTTGGGGTGTGCAGCAGGATGGCTGTGGCAGGATCAGGCCCAGCCTCAGTGCTGCCCACTACCACCCACCTGGGTGGGGGCTGAGGGTCCAGATGGGCTCCTGCCCTGCCATGGAACTCATAAACCACAGCCCAAACAGGCTCAGAAATTTCCTGGCCAGGCCCTTTGGCTTCCCTGTATCAGGAACTGGCACAGCATCCCCGCCTTCTCCAGAGCCTCCCCTCCTCACCCCAGTTTGGGCCAGAACCACCCTGCTCCAGGAGGTTTTGGGGGTGGCAGGAGCTGGGCTGCATCCTTCTAAGATTATAAGGCTTGCAGAGGTTTAGGGAAGATGCTTACAGCTGCTCTGCCAGATGTGCTGTTCCCTCCCAAGGCAGGCCAGATGTGTACAGCTGGCTGACAAGAGCCAGCCGTGCCCATGAACTCACATGCCCTGTTCCCGGGGAGCCCAAGCCAGGTCTCACCCCACCTCCTCCTGCACCTACGGCTGCTGGCATTTCCCCAGGCTGGGTGTCTCACATCCACACCCTTCCCCTGCCTTCTACTCCCAGATTTAAAACAAGAAAAGCCACCCACAGCAAGACTGTTGTCCCCAGGAGCTCTTGCCCTGGGACATGGCTAGATCCTTTTCTTCTGCAGCATCACCAGCCAAACCTCTGTCTCACCCTAACCCTGAGCTGCTGGCATGGGTGCACATCTCCCCAAGTCCTGCCACGGGAGAGGAGGGGTCACAGGTGGGTGCTTCCCAGGAGAGAGATGTCCCTTCTCCTGGTGACACGGAGGCATCACTGTGCCCAGCCTGTGAGTGCAGAGAAATGCAGTGTTGGGGTGGAGCTGGGACATCGGGTGTGGGAGCACCAGGGAGGGCAGGAGAGGGGCTGGGAGAAGGTGCTGAGGGCACCTAGATGAACAGGCCATCATGACCTGCAGCTTCTGAGGAAGTCTGAAGACACCTGTGTTAGACAATAATAGACAGGCCAAGAGGACCCTGACTAAAGCAAAGCCTCAAGTCACTATGGGAAAACCATGGGGCAGCAGAAAGTAGTGCAGAAGCCAGAAGACACACGGATACAAAGGACAGTGAGCAAGTTGCTGTGACTCAGACGGATGACAGGATGGAGATGACAGACAATACCTGTCACCACCTCCTGAATGGTAGGAAGAAGCACGTCAAAAGCAAGGATGTCACCAAGCAGAGCCACCCAGGAAGTGCAAGGTCTGAACAGTTGGTGTCCCTTGTCCTCTCTGCCACCTCCAGGCACCCCGAAGTGACCGCCAGATTAGCCAGAGTCACACAAAGGCCCATGAGTTCCACTTCTAGTTTGTTCTTAACAAAGAAGCCACCCTGGCAGGATTTCTCCTCCTTCATCGGTAAGTCCCTGCAGCTGGATCCTGGGGCAGGACACAGCCTGGGCTGGATCCCTCGGGAAGACCCTGCAGCTCCACTGGGATTTCAGGCCGGCACTGGGGTTAATGTCCTGGTCTGAGCTCAGACCAGCCAAGGCAGGAGAAGCAGCCTGTTGCTCAGCTCGGGGAGAAGGCAGCCCCACCAGTCCACCTTTTCCTTGGCAGCTCTGGTGACAGGAGCCAGTTTCCAGGCACCTATTCAAATGCAAACAAATACTAGGTCAAACCAGTTTATTTGAGCATCCACCCAGGTCAGATAGGATTATTTGGCTCTGAAACCCTCCCCATGGGCTTTAGCCATGCAAACGAAAAGGTTAGACAAATGAGGGACTTCATTCCCAGCTAGGCTTCAGGCCAGCACATCCCAGCTCCACACACAGGACTGGGACTCCCATAAGCATCATGTCCCCAGCCTCCAAATTCCTCTGCTGCTGTGGACCACCACAGACTGCAAGACCCTGTGACAGTGTTGTCCACATTGCTCCTGGGGACAGGCACAGCACAGGTGTGAACCTCCTAAGTTCACAGAGGCAGCCCTTCTCTCTTTTGTGGAGGCCAAGCACCATCCCAGGGCTCCTGCCTCCCTGTCCCCATCCCCAAACCTGTCTGGAAGCTCTCACCAGCCCCAGGAAATGCTCTGGATTTTGCTGGAAGCCAGAAGGAACATGCTGGGGTCTCTGCAAGGGGCACAGGTCACGCTCCCTGATGGTACCTGATGAGGGTTCTCCAGGAGATCCTACCAGTGAGGGCAGGAGGACACTTATTCTTCCCAAGGCAGGTAGAGGACCCAACCAGGGGTGGCAGGTTCTCCTGGGAGCTGTCCCACATGGGGAAACTTGGAGCCAGACCTCAGGCTGACTGCTGTGTGCTGTGACGAGGCTCAGCACCTCCACTTGGCTCAGCGCCCAGCCCATCACCCTGGGATGCAGGGAGCCCTCCCTCTCTGCTACGTGCCTGCCTGATTTCAGCAGGCCATGCCCACAGCCTGCAGAACAGGCTCGGCTGGCAGCAAGCCCAGCAGGACGGGACAGACCCTGGGGAAAGAGCAGGCTGCAGGCACGCCACCCTGGGAGCACCTCACAACAAGCCCATGCAGGGACAATGCAGTCCCCAGGGCTCAGACATCCTCAGCACCACCTTGCCCACCTAAGATAAAGCTTCCCAGGCTCTGGCAAGCAGAGGAAAGGATGGAGAGATGAAGACTTGGACACCAGTGAGCATCCACCACACATCCGCTACCAGCCATGGCTCTCCAGCCTGGCTGCTGGTTTACATCTTAGACAGATTAAGCACAGCTTCCATTTCCACACCCGGCAACTGCAAGGCAGACAGACAATGACCAAAGGACAACTACATCACAGAGCCTGGGCTCTCCACCCCTTCTACAAAAACAACACACCCAGAGATACAGCTCCTCAGCAGCGCAGGACCTACCTCCCTAGGCTCAGCACCCTCCCGGGGACCAGAGAGACGGGACAGGATCTGCCCCGAGCATCACACCAGCTCTGGAGTGGGAGGTAGCCCTTCGCAAAGCACCAGGGACTGGAGCAGTC